CCGTAATGCAATTTGACAAGTTGCCAGAAACGTCCTTCGATGCACAATTGTCTGAAAATTAATTCAGCGACCTGCCAAAAATCCGTTTAACCACTAAAAGCCGCTGTGTCGCCCGCTGCCTTCCTTCATTAAGTGCAAAAGCACTTAAACTAAAAAGCCTTCTTGGCTGATGTGCTGGATTTTTGCCGGAAACAACATATCGATCCGCAAAATTCAATCAAGACCCAAAATTTGAGAGGAATTTAATAAAGGCGGGCGCAATCAGGCACGATTTTGAGTTCGCCACTGTAGTTGCCGAAAATTAAATTAATTCTTTCCGATTTGCTGATTGACGGTTCTAAAGCGACTGCCATAAGAGGCAGCTACAGTATGCAGGTCGAAAATTTTGGGTACATTTTTGATGAAAAAGTTCGTCGGTTTTCGTTCTGCAAATGTTTCGAGTATTTTGATGAACAGAAAACATTTTTATATTATTTCTCTTGTAGAAAACTTTCTTGATAATGTGCTTATAATATGGCGCCCAATTAATAACCTACCCAATTGAGATCCCAGAAAATAGATGACTAAGTCCGCTGAACGGAAAAAATAGATTCATAACTGTATCTAGACCTCTCCATATATTTCATATTATTCATACCGAAATAGTAATAAAGTGATTTGGTAAATTTGATGTTGCCGTGGATGCTATTATAACAAACAGCATAGGATTGGAATCTAGAATAAACCAAGGTATTATTTTTATTATTTATGCCTTCTGATCGAGGTATATCCGTCAGCGTTCGAACATATTCTTGTTTGACTCAGCAAGTGGTACTGTTTAGTACTCTTGCATTGCAAGTTGTAAAAGACTCCAGAGCCGTGGCATGCTAAAACAACCCCATAGGTCTTTAGAAGCAAGTGGACGGTGCGATTACACCTTACCTATCCGGAGAAGTGAGAGGAGGCTGGTAGTTAACACTGAGGTATTGGAAAGAGCTACAAGACAATAAATCTGATGAAGAATGCACACATTGGGAATTCAAATTCTTATTGTAAATTGAATGCAAATTGACTGCAGGCGAATTTAGAATTTTAAATTCTCAGTAAATAGTTTCTTGTTTCCATTGTCATTATAGAATGCAATTTACTTTCTTAAAATACAGAAAAAAATATTAAAATGGCTTATAATGACCGTTTGGAAGAAACATTCGCCACCTCAATGCCAGCCGAAAAGAAACTACATTTTTTTCACAAGTGAAAAATCATTGAGAAAAAATAAAAACAAAAAAATTTACATTTGTGCCATGAAGTTTCCATTTCATTGCGCAATGCACAAATTACAATGCAGACACGCGTTGGTCACCGAACGTCACACTGCTCTTCAAATACATCCTGCATATCACAGTGTATTACGATAAGTAACGTTAAAGTTAACGCTAACGTACGCACATGCACAGGATTAACCATTACGACTTGTTGGACGTACTGAGAAGAGTGTTGGCTTTAGTACATTAGAAACAGGTAAAGAATCATCAGAGCTGAAGGTCGATGCATCATATCTTAAACTCTAATAATGCTCCGCTTGTTTCACCTGACTTAAACTTCGTATGACCAACGCACACCTGAGCAGGTCAAATCAAATCTTGTTCTCCCTGCTTATTGTCAGCATATTCTCGGGTTTGTATCGCTTGACCTTCTTTATAGAACGTTGAGTGATATATGGACAGTTTTTGAAACGAGGCAATGTTTAGTGACCTCTGATGATTGACCACAAGGTTTATGGGTTTACTGAAAGTTCAGTCATCTCTCAATATTTTGAGAATACTTATGCGCTTAAATGTTCAGAAGGACGAATATAACTCCATCCAAATTTGCTGATGATGTTAATAAAGATAAAGGGAGGTCAATTGGCATTAATTATCAACAAATGGCAACATAAGCTTGTCCATCATGGAAGTTTGGAAGGAAAGTAGTTAATTGATCGCATGTAATCTTTCGCACAAATTTTTTTTGGGGCCGACTTTTTGTATGCAGTCATCAGCAAAAATACCATAATTCGAAGGAAACTTTTAATCTTGGTGGTAACCGCAATGCGTAATTTCCCTCCATTAAGGTGATACTCATTTATCTACGCGAATGGATGAGGCACAAATGCATAGGAACGGGACTGGTATCCACGATGTTTCGCTCACGAGTCAGACGTTTGACGGAATGAGCCACCTTCGCTTTATGAGAAACGAATTGGAATGAAGATACGTACATATCACTCGCTATATTTGTAAACAATTTTTCTTAATGGTTAGCGATATTCTACAGTATGCATCCGTTGATGCAGTTCAGCGCATGCTTTCTTTACACAGTTAACAACGCTGCAGACTAAACCAAGATTCTATAACACTGCTGCATCATCCGACGTCGTTTTCCAACTGGTTGATCATCAGTTAATGTGTAGCAATTCATTAACATAAATAGGGAAATTCGTTGTGCCATCAATAACTTACGGATAATTTCGAGTTTGGAAGCCTTGACTCTGGGGGCCAGTGACAGGTAAAAACAAGACACTTTTGGTGCTACCATCGGCTAAACTGAACTTATTTGCATCTCTCATTCAGATATGCATTCAGCTTTGCACCAAAGTTTGCAGTGCTTAAACTTATGATATCTGAAGGATGACAAAAGGATTAATAATTTAGCATTTTCACTTAATATATGCAGACAATACTCCTAAGCAACCAAATATCGGTCTGAAGGACGCTTATCATCATTCTGTGATCAGGATTTCATAAGACAACGAAATGAGCCAACGATGCTCCATGAAGACGGATCGGACGTGATCTGAAAGTTTGGAGTACTTGCACATAAATTTTATATGCGGAATAATCTCGTAAAGTATTTGTCGAGTGTTGAACCAAATCTCTGCATAAAAGAATTCACCTCAGTGTTTAGAATGGGTTGATTGCTAAATTCCCCGCCCGAACTAAGTATAACGTATTTAATGCAGTCGTTGCACGTGATCTCACTCAGCCTTAATATTATAAACGTATACGATATACCACATTAATCACGATATAGACTTTAGCATCATATAAATTTGATGACACGTATATCAGGTGACACAATGATCACTTTAAATGAGGTATATGAGATTTACGAAGGCCACATTAAAATGAACCTCTTTCTAATGACATAACTTTCTTTAGTTTGCGGCGAATAAAGGTAACTGAACGCAAGGCAGTTATTATGAATTGCAACAAGCCATCTGTGCAAAAAGTCAGCAGAAACTTAACTAGAAAAATAGTTTTTCTCCGTCGTTCATAAACAGCTTTCAAATGACTTGAAGTACCATCAATAAATTCAGGTCTACACCAAAGAAATTCTGCATAAATCTAAGCTCACGTGACACTGACCCAATTACAGGACTACAGCATGTAAATGGATGTTATGATCGAGGTCTTCACTAAAACTGAAGCGTAGAATGAAGCAATTTCTCGGTCTCTCTCTCTTTCCCACGATTTCATAGAAGATACGGTGTATTGTTTTGTTTATTCGATGCCGCCGTCAGATCATGAACCAGAAAGTCGTCTGTTCACACGTGATTCAAAATAAAACACATGCATATGTCCAACCATCAAAATACATCGGTCACGGAGAATCCTACTCTGACAAAGATCGCTAGTGAAAAGACCAACGAACGATGATCATATTTATCTTGTAGAAAGCCCCCCCCCAACCACAGAATACGGAACCCATTGAGTATGTGGAGAATGAGGCTATGATGTGCCTGAACGAGATAGTAGCAAATGCGTTTTTCAGCGCAGAAAAATAAATGTGCTTAAAGCGAAAACAGTTTTAGTCATACAGCAGTGCCCAATCAAACAAAATATAAAATTTTTTACTTGATTTAAACTAAAATCTATATTTAACATACAATCTGCATAACAATATTGCAAGTATATTTACTTTGTAGCCAACTCGAATCAGTCTATCTGTACAACTAGATGTTCGAAATTGGTGTTATCACTCTTAACAAAACGCACGTAAAAATATCATCAGCAGCAAAAGCCAAGAAAGAGGATTTTATGTATCATTTGCAATTTTTATGAGCTTCAGAAAT